TAGCTTTGCAGTTCTTAATTAGGGGAGCAACATCTGTTTGCTTCATTTCCATAATTTTACATACCCCCTCCAAAGCACCAGGAGCTTTGCTCTGAACATCTCCAAGGCTCTAAATATCTTCCTTTCCCCCTTCTATTTAGCCCATAGTTGCAGTGAGGCAAACAGGGAGTTCTCAGAGCCCAGGGGTGTTCTGAGGGGAGCTGGGCTGGGGCTGGGGTGGCTGCAGCTGGTTCCTCTGCTCTGGGCTGTCTCAGAGAGTTTGTGTGCAGCCTTCAGCAGTGATTTGGGGTGCACTGTTGATCTCAGCACCTCACTGTGCCCAGCACTTTCATTTCTGTGGGACAAACTCAGCCTCCCTGATTGGATTGCAGGGGAGCAGGAGCCCTTTGGCTTCTCCTGCTGAAGCTTCCCTGTGGCTGAGCAGGAGCACAGGAGTGACTCCCTGAGCAGGGCTGGGGACAAAACCTCATCTCAGGGGCCAAACTCATCACTGCATCCCCTCCCTGCCAACTGCCCTGCCCTCCTTCTGGCTGGGACGAGGAACCCAGGCCAGGAAAAGGGGCTGGAACTGTTTCCTCAATCCCATGAGGAGCAGAAATAATCTCAGCACCAATCTCAGCCCCAGAAAAGTCAGCCCCACTCCTCCTTGCCCCACTGCTGGTTTCTGTCTCGTGCAGGACCTCAGGAATGTTTGTCCCAGCAGGACTCTGCTCTGAGGCTGGTGGGAAGCAGGATTTTATCCAGAAGCAACCCACAGGGTTTATACTGGCATGTGGAAACACTGTGTAAATGAGGCAATTCATTAGAATGGGGAAGTCAATTAATTTTTCAATTTGCCAACCAGTTACGGTTTTAAAAAATGGTTTTGAAAAATTCCTCTCCCCTTCCGTGGCTGGAAGAACGTTTTCCATAATCTTCTGCAGTGTTCTGGAGGAGAAATTTGATATTTTCTTGGCAAATCAGAAGAGAAAAATGTGATCTAATGAAAGAGCTAATAGAGGCAAGCTGGGCTCAGGAAAACAGTGAAGTGTAATGTGATTTCAAAGGGAAAATGGAGTGTTCTGGCTTAAAAAACAACAGAAATAATAATTCCAAGGTTTTTAGTGGTATTACTTCATCAACTTGACACAAACCTAAGGAGCTTTGATCAAAGCACTTCCAGCAAATATCAGGCACGTTTGGAAAGCATCAGCCTGGTCTGTGTTCAGCTGGGCTGTGCAGCCCCTGCAGTGCAGCTGGGGGACATCCAGGGGGATTTCTGCTGGGAATCACAGAAATGCCCCCACAGAAATGTTCTACAAAGGCAGGTTGGAGGCACAGCATTATTCTCTCCCTGGTGATGAATCCACATGCCAACACAGACCTCTGGGGCACTGAGCAGGAGACTCTCAAAGCTGGATCCCACCTTGGAGCAGTTTCTCCCACCTCAGCAGCCCAGGTTTACAGCCCTTGCCTTTATCTTCACCCAGACTGCAGTGCCAGAAATGAGTGTGGCTTCCCAGCCAGCTGGGATGGCCTGAGAAGTGCAGGGCTTCAGGGAGACCCTGCCCTGGGAGCAGCCCCAGAGCCACAGCCAGTGACAGGGCCCTGGGAGAGGAGTGGGGTGGGGTTGGGGCACTGGGAGAGGAGTGGGGTGGGGTTAGGGCACTGGGAGAGGAGTGGGATGGGGTTGGGGCACTGGGAGAGGAGTGGGATGAGGTGTGGTGACACCAGCACGGAGCCATGCTGCTGCGGAGCTTTGGGAAGCTGTTCCTCTCCCCTGCTCTGGCCCCTCCCTCAGCCCGGTTTGATCTCGGGACAGCCGCTCTGTCCCCGGCTGCTTTGAGCTCAGCGTGTCCCAGCCACAGCCTGACCTTGCAGTGCTGCAGGGCTGCTCATGGCCCATGCTGGGATTTGTCCCTTCAGCTCTGGCAAGGGCAGGATTGCAAAGCTGCAGTCGCAGCCCCTCTGTGACTCTGGAGTGCTGCAGTCTGGCCACCTCCTCCCTCACCAGCCAGCTGCACTCAGGCAGGTTCTGCTCTCTCCACACACAGTTTGTGTCTCTGGGTGTGCTTAAGCAGCTCTCTGGAGCTCATTTTGTGTGATCTGGGTGGGAATGACTGTGTGTGTGTGTGTGTGTGTGTGTGTGTGTGTGTGAGTGTTCAGTGACCTCCTGTGCCAAACCCATTTAAAGGTGGCCCTGGTGCTGTGCCTGGCCATGGAAGGGCTGGGCTCTGTCTCTCTGGGGGTATCCAGAGCTGTTTCAGTCCAGCATTCAATGAACAGCCATTAGAGAATTCCTACACTAACACTTCCAGCCCCTGGAATGACTCAAGCAGCTCCAAACTCTGCTTGCCCTCAGGATCACGTCCTTCCCAGGCCAGGATCTTGCTCTGAGTGGGAAACAAAAGCTTTTCTGCCTTTTTTTTTTTTTTGCAGGGATTGATTGTCAGTAGGTAAAACAGCAGAGCACTGAGCATCCCATCCCATTCCCCTCAGCAGCCAGGTCCCAATGCACATCCAGGATCAGAACCCTGGCAGCATTTCAGTGCAGCTCAGCCCACTGCAGCTTCACCCACAGAGGCCTCAGAGCCACCCCCTGTCCTTTGTGGGGTGGCAAAGGCTTCATTTGAAAAAGGGAAGGGAAAGCCTTCAGTGTGTTCTGGCAGTATCTGCAATTACAGTCTCCTGCTCCTTCCTTTTTTATGGGCTTGGCTCAAATCTGTGTCTGCTGGTTCCTCCTGCAAGGGAAGGGAAGGTTTGGGAACAGCTTCCTTTGTCCCTGAGCTCCCTGCTCAGCTGCTGTGAAATCACCTCTAGTCTGAATGTGCTGTACTTCCTCCCTGATGTTTTTCACGGGGGTGGTTTCTGTACATTCCATGCTTTGCAGCAAGAACTAAACACATTTTACCTTCCCAGCATCATGCTGGCAGTGACTGGGATCTCCCTCCTATTGTATTGTACAATTTTCTCTTTATTGCTGCAGGGGTTGTTTCACCTTTTTCTGGTGCTGGATTTGGAGCTCAGTGAGTTATATCCAAGACTCTGCTGTTGCAGAGTGGCTCTTTAGGAAACCAGGGTGCCACCTTCCCTCTTCAGTGCCATTCCAGCTCTCTCCTGCCAGATGTTTGATTTTCCATTTGGCTGGAGTAAGAGGCATGTCCTTAAACTCTTACTCTTTTATCTGCTGCACACATAAAAACTACATCATACAGTAAAAAAACCAAACAACCATCTGGATGTCATCTAGATGTGCCTCAGATCATAAAGATGTGAGAGCTGGCTGGGTGGGATCAAAAGGAAATCCCTCTGGTGCCAGGCCCTGCCCTGGCTGGCTCTGTCCCTCAGCCCAGGAGTGATCCCTCCAGTGCCAGCTGCTCTCCCAGGATGGATAAATCATTCCACTGCATTTTCCAGCCCACTGCAAGGGCAAAGAGCAGAGTTAAACTCCGGGAATCCACCTGGAATATTCCCTGAAGCTGGGGCTCCAAGGGCACAGGAGCTGCAGGATGCCTGAGGGTCCTACCTGGCCCAGCTGAGCTTTTCCAGCTCATGAAGTGACAGAATAGAACCACAGAACCATTCAGGTTGGAAAAGACTCCAAGACCAAGTCCTGACTCACAGGGAAATCTCCTTTCAAGTGAACCCCTCTATTTGAGTCCAGAGTGACCAAGGCACCTGAAACAGGTGAGGAAAAGGTGAAGCTGAAGGAGACTGGCTGAGGACTTCACTGGGTTTCATATTTTTGAGATTTTATTCTCTTTTTCTAATGGAGGCTAAGGTGCAAAATGGGAATCTTCCAAATCCATCAGCTTTTTTCTGCCAGTCTGCCACCCTTCCCAGCAGTGCAGATACTGCCTGGACTGCCTTGGACATGCAGCTCTGTGCTCCAGCTCCCAGTCAGTGCAGCCTGAGGCTGTGGGTTCCACAGGAGCAGGGAGGGGGTGTTCCACGGGGGCAGGGAGGTGGTGTGCCACAGGAGCAGGGAGGGGGTGTTCCACGGGGGCAGGGAGGTGGTGTGCCACAGGAGCAGGGAGGGGGTGTTCCACGGGGGCAGGGAGGTGGTGTGCCACAGGAGCAGGGAGGGGGTGTTCCACGGGGGCAGGGAGGTGGTGTGCCACAGGAGCAGGGAGGGGGTGTTCCACGGGGGCAGGGAGGTGGTGTGCCACAGGAGCAGGGAGGGGGTGTTCCACGGGGGCAGGGAGGTGGTGTGCCACAGGAGCAGGGAGGGGGTGTTCCACGGGGGCAGGGAGGTGGTGTGCCACAGGAGCAGGGAGGGGGTGTTCCACGGGGGCAGGGAGGTGGTGTGCCACAGGAGCAGGGAGGGGGTGTTCCACGGGGGCAGGGAGGTGGTGTGCCACAGGAGCAGGGAGGGGGTGTTCCACGGGGGCAGGGAGGTGGTGTGCCACAGGAGCAGGGAGGGGGTGTTCCACGGGGGCAGGGAGGTGGTGTGCCACAGGAGCAGGGAGGGGGTGTTCCACGGGGGCAGGGAGGTGGTGTGCCACAGGAGCAGGGAGGGGGTGTTCCACGGGGGCAGGGAGGTGGTGTGCCACAGGAGCAGGGAGGGGGTGTTCCACGGGGGCAGGGAGGTGGTGTGCCACAGGAGCAGGGAGGGGGTGTTCCACGGGGGCAGGGAGGTGGTGTGCCACAGGAGCAGGGAGGGGGTGTTCCACGGGGGCAGGGAGGTGGTGTGCCACAGGAGCAGGGAGGGGGTGTTCCACGGGGGCAGGGAGGTGGTGTGCCACAGGAGCAGGGAGGGGGTGTTCCACGGGGGCAGGGAGGTGGTGTGCCACAGGAGCAGGGAGGGGGTGTTCCACGGGGGCAGGGAGGTGGTGTTCCACAGGAGCAGGAGAGGTGGTGTTCCACAGAAGCAGATGTGGTGTTTGCCATCTCACTGCTGGGGCAAGGGCTGTGCACAGACCCCCGAGGGCCATGTGGGCACCAAGGGGAGGCATTGCAGGGAAGTGGGGCAGGAAGCTCCACCTGTGCTCTGACCCTTTCTCTCCTCCCTTCCTCCACAGGCAAGAAGAACTCCATCCTTCTGCACAAAGTGCAGCACGACCTCAACTCGGGGGTGTTCAACTACCAGGAGAACGAGATCATCCAGCAGATCGTGCAGCACGACCGGGAGATGGCTCACTGTGCCCACAACGTGCAGGCTGCCGCGGCTGCCGCCTCCACGCCCACGCCGGTCATCTGGACGCCGCTGATCCAGGCCCCGCTGCAGGCCGCCGCCGCCACCACCTCGGTGGCCATCGCCCTGACCCACCACCCGCGCCTGCCCACGGCCATCTTCCGGCCGCCCGTGTCCGTGCTGGGCTCGCTGGGCCAGCAGCCCAACCAGACCCCCAGGCAGCTGAAGAGATTCCAGTCGCTCATGCCGTCCTCCGCCGGCCCCTCCGCCGTGGGCTCCCCGTCCAGCACCCCGTCCCAGCTGCACACGCCGGGCGCCGAGACGCCCTCGTCCTCCTCCTTCCACATCCAGCAGCTCGCCGGCTTCTCGGCCGCCGCCGGCCTGGGCCAGTTCCAGGTGGGGTCCCCTCCGGGGGGCTCTGGCCAGCCGGGGCTGAGCAGCACCTCCTCGGTGGGGCTGAGCCAGTTACAGAATGCACCCTCTGGGTCACCCTTAGGCGCAGCTCAGCCCCTGCAGCAGCAGCAGCAGCAACAGCAGCAGCAGCAGCAGCAGCCAGCCCTCTCCAGCAGTGGATTTGGGCACTTCCAGCAAGCCACAGCCAGCTCCCCATCGACATCGCTCACCCAGCTCTCATCAAACTCCCCCCCCAGTCTCCTGAACCAGTTCCAGCCCACCACGAGACCACTGCAGGGGGGACAGTCGCAGCAGCTCTCGGGCAGTGGGACCCTGGGGGGGTTGAACCACTTCCAAGCCCCTCCTTCTTCCAACTCTCCATCCTCCAGCCTAAGCCAGCTGGCGCAGGCCTCGGGCGGGCCGTCCGCAGGCCTGTGCCAAACACATCCAAGTGCTTTAGGATCTCTGACTGGAACGATAGCCCAGCTCCACCAAGAGCGGCCTCCCTTCGCCTCCGCGCCCCCGCTCCAGCAGCCCGGCATCGCCTCTCCCTGTTACACCCCTTCTGGCCTTAGTCCTCCCAGTCAGAGCCCGGTGGCCAGCAGAACTTTCCAGAGCGGCCCCGCGGGGGCCTCGGGCTCGCACGGCTCGCTGCTGCTGCCGCAGCCCGCCAGCCCCCCGGCCCAGGCGCTGCCGGCGCGCCTCAACCAGGACATCAAGCTGATCTCTGCGTCCCAGCCCTCTCTGCCCCAAGAGCTGGCTCAGACTCTGGGCCGCCACAGCTCTCCTCATTCCTCTAGAGAATCTGTTTCCAGCTTCTCCCCTTTCCCCGGCGGCGGGAGCGGACTCCTGGGGAAGCCTTGCAGCTCCATCCCCGGGCGGGTGACGCTGCCGCGCCAGATGTCCTCAGGTTCTCTGCCACACCCGCTGGCCTTCGCCGCCGGCGCCGCTGCCCTGGCTGCGGGCGGCCGGAAAGAGTCCATAGTGCTCACGGGGGATCTGGAGCCCGTCAGGTCCAAACTGCCCTCCAATTTGTGAGGACTCCTGGAGGAGCTGCTCGTGCCAGCTCTGCCCTTCAGCTCCCGATGAGTTCACCGAGCAGTTTTTTCCTTTCTTTCCCCCCCTGCGCCACTCCTGCTTTGTTTTCTTTTTTTTTCTCCATTTCTTTTGTTTAGGTTTAACTGTGCTTAGAAACAAAGAAAAAACACATGAAAAACAACAGGAAAAAAAAAAAAGAAGATAACCAGGTATTCTTAGAGCTATAGATTTTTGGTCACTTGATTTTATAGAATATTTTAATACACAGGAAAAAAAGGATACAAGCAAATGTAATCCAACGAGGTAACGCACAGCCGGGGCATGTGCCTGAGCTGGAACACGTGAATGAGCAGCCATAGAAGCCACCAAAAAGATTTTCCTGTTGAGACAAAGATCCGAGGTTGATGTGGGCCACAGAAGGGCGTGGGGGGTCAGGCCTGGAGCTGGTGTTTGCAGAGCAGCCCTGGTTGTGACCCTGGGGCTGGGGACGTGGGTGGCCCAGCACACACCACAAGTGTCCCTCCCTCCCTGCCAGGTCACCTCCTGTGCTCAGCAGGTCACACAGGAGCCAGGAAGGGGCGAGTTCACTCTTGTAGATCCCTTGAGGGGTTTCCCACGGGCTGAGGTTTGGGTTGGACTCCAGCTGAGGAAGATGAAGGTGACCAGGAGATGGACGGGCCTCACTGCAGGTTGTTCCTTTCTTACCCCACTGATGCTCCAGTGGGAACAAGGAGCAATCCCCCGTGAGGCACAGGCAGGGCAGGGATGACCCCTCTGTACTGTGGCATGTGGGCAGTGGCAGGAGCCCTGGCTCTGCCAGCACCCCTGGCAGAAGGCCCCAAGCTTCAGCCCCTCCGTGGTGTATGCAAAGCAGGGAGGGATGAAGGAAGAGGCAGTGCTTTAACGTCCCCTCTGTCACTTCAGTGTCTCAGTGAGTGCTCTGAGGAGCACTGAAAGGGCTGAGCAGTGGGGTGCAGTCCCCAGCCCTCCTCCTCCTCGGCCCAGGGCAGTGTGAGGCACCAGGACAGTTCCAAGATTTACAATTGTTTTTACCATTTAAACCAGATCAGCCCAGAAATTTGGCCAGCCATGGTCTGTGCTTGTCCCCTGCTGGGGGAACCGAAATCCTTTGTTTGATTTCACCAGCAATAAGAGCCTGCACCTGGTGGGCTTCCCTGACACCCTGCAGCGTCCCCGGGCACACCTGGGCACCTGGGGCTGGGCTTGGGGCTGCCCGCCTGGGGACACTCCTGGGGCGGGGACAGAGCGGGGCCAGCAGCACTGAGCAGCCACAGCCTTTACCTCCAGGGCAGACATCTCCTTCTGTGTCACTTGGTCCTTCCTCTCTCTCTGTCTGGGGTTTTCTTAGGCCAAGGGGTGTCCGTGGCCACCTCACTGTCCGAGTCAGGTGCTCAACTTTTCTAACACTCCTTAGAGACACATCCAGCCTCCCTCTGTCCCCAGCCCTCGAGGGGACGCAGGACTCCATGCAGCAGTGCCAAAAACTCCCCCTGCCCAGTCCCGAGCCCCTGGAGCTCCCCGTGCCCTGCCCCAAACCCTGGCTGATGGTTGTTTTTATACCGACCCCACTGGTCTGCAGAACTCTCTGCCACGTGCCTGCACCTTGAATGTTGCATTCCTGGGCACTCCTGCTTCACCCTGCTTTGGTGGCTCTGAATTCAGACGTGATCAGCTTTGGTCTTCCTTAAAGGGTCAGGGGAACTCTGGAAATGCTTTTTCTACTGGCTCCATGCAGCTGTGTCTGTGTGAGTGTGGTGGGAGGGTGAGTGTGTGTGTGTGTGTGTGTTTGTATAGATTTTATAGATGTATCTATATCTACACACCTGCTTTTCTATCTGTAGGGTAGTCACACACATCTGTAGGCTATTTATGCACATGTGTCAGCACACACACACACACATATTTATATATATATATGTATATCCTAGTTTTAAATTAAAATACGTGTCAGTTCTGACCCTCCTGCAGGGCTGATTGGCAGGTGACAATTATAACCTCTAGATCCTGCTTTTCCAAATATGTACAGGTTCATCTTGAAACAGGAATTGAAGCAGACTCACAGACCCTCTCATGTTTTCAGAGGTAGAAGGAAGACTCCCAATATCCTTTGCAGTTTTTTGGGTTTTTAGCAAACCTTTCCCCTATGTGCCAGAGGGCCCTGGCCGAGCACCTGGAGGGTTTGGGGTGGGCTGGGCAGGCAGGGGGGAAGGGTCTCCAGCCCTCCTGGGCTCCTGTCCCGTGGCTGCTGCACTGGCCCTGAGTCCTGGCCACCCTGGGGACCCTCAGGGGACACCCAGGGCTGGCACTGCCCGGCCGTGCCCCCTCCTCACTGCGGGACATCCTCCTTGGCTTTGCTTCCCTCGGGGATCTTCTTTGGGTTTCCAGCTCTCTGCACTGCAGTAGCCAACTTTGAGTTATTCTGACTGGACCCCAGTCAACACTAGGCTTGTCTCAGTAGGTGGAACTATATTTATTACTATTATTATTATTATTATTATTATTATTATTATTATTATTATTATTTGGTTTCTTTTGGGGGGAAGGGAGGGGAAGAGTTCTAGGGGTGGGGTTTGCAATATAAAACACACAATAAAAACCTTAGTAAATAAAAATGTGAAAAAACCACCCCTCTGAGTTGCTGTGTGCTTCACGTGGTGAGCTCCAGGCAACACGAGATGAGCTTTAAAGGAGAAAAATCCCATTTCAGCCCTTTGCTTTGTCCTGTCTCTATTTTCCTGCTGCCTCTGGAGCTTTGGCAGGGTGTTCACCACCTCGCATGTTCTCTGACACTAAAAGTTTAAAACTTCCACCTACCCCTGAATTCTCACCAGGCCAAGGGAGAAATCTGGCAGGTGTCTTGCAGATGTGTGCACAAAAATCCTTCACTCTAATGCAGCCATGGAAGCTGTGTTTGCTGTGGGACCCCTGGAGAAGGAGCCCTGCACAGGACACAGCCCCTGGCACAGGACAGGAAGCTCACAGGGAGGATGCCAAGGCCAGGAGCTGAAGAGTTTTAGGAAGGTAAAACTGCCCTGAGCTCTGAGCTTCCATTGCTCCTGCAAGGCCCTCTCAGGTCAGCGTGTGACTCCTGGGGGGTCACCTTGTCCTGGAGCTGCCACCAGGGACTACAAGGTTTGGGTTGCCTTTTGGAATGGGTTTTTGGGCCAGGCTGTTTTCCATGCCATTCCTTTAGAGAGGGAACAGGTTTTTAGTCCTGCCCAAGCCAACATTTCTTTTAAAAATTAGATTTCCTGGAAGATTTGTAAATTTGCAGGGTTGGACTGGAACAGAATCCAAGTTTTGAGCTCTCAGAGCACACCTGGAAGGCCTGGCTGGGTCAGCACATGGTGCTGCCTCCTTGCCTCACTGCAAGGACTTCACAGAGCACTGGGGTGATCCAGCTGTGGGGAAACATCCCCAGAGCCACTCACTGCCCTCAGCAGGGTGGGCCTGCCCCTCATCCCCCCTGCCTGCCCCAGAGCCTCAGCATCCAGGAAAGGCAGGAGCAGCAGCTCTGGTGGTCCCTCCCTTTGCCCAGCTCCAGTTTGGGCAGGAATTCATGGGAATTTCAGCCTTGTCTCTGGCCTGGCTGCCCAGCCTGCAGTCTCTGGCTTTGGGAGAGGCAGCAGCTCCCACACTCATGGCTCTTGCACCCTGGGGGAGATTTTGGGGTGTGGGAGCCCACAGAAGCAGCAGTTCCCAGCAGGGCTTTCCCAGGGCACTGGGATTGGCTGGTCCCTGCACCAGCCAGCCCTGGGCAGAAGGAAGGTGGTGCCAGGGCTGCAGGGAGAGGCAGGCTGGGGCTCTGCTCTCCCTTGGGAAGAGGATTTTTCTCCTCCCTGCAGCCTCCCTGAGCTCTGTGCCTGCAGGACCCTCAGGCTGGTCCCCAGCCTCCATCAGGGACACCCTGCCACACCTCTGGGGTGTCCCCAGGAAGCCCCAGGCTGGGGCTGGGGTTGGGCATGCCCTGACTGAGTCCTGTTTCATCTCCTCTGCAGTTCCAGGGATCTCCCAGCACGGGACCAGCAAGCTCAGGTACCCTGCCAGGTGCTCCTGGGAATGCCCAGAAGGAAAAGGGAGTTGCATCTTTCTCCTCCCTGCTAGGAGAGCCATGAGTAAGTTTGGAATGACCCTTTAAAGCAATAAGTACATTAGAGTGTGTGTTTTACCTAAAATAAGGAACACCAGTCAGCTTTCACCCCCAGCCTCAGGGCTGAGCTCATCCCTGCCCCCAGGGCACTGCTGTGACAGTGACAGGAGCTGTGAGCCACACTCTGACCCCTGATGGTCTGTGGGACAGGATCCCTTTGGGAAGGGGCAGATTGGCACAAAGCAATGATCACAGGGAGCAAAAAGCAAATGGGGAGCTCCTCCAAGCCTCCCACCCCCTGGGCAGAGGAGACACCTCACTGCTCACACCCCTGAGAGGTACGGGGGACACCTCACTGCTCACACCCCGAGAAGGTACGGGGGACACCTCACTGCTCACACCCCGAGAGGTGACGGGGGACACCTCACTGCTCACACCCCGAGAGGTGACGGGGGACACCTCACTGCTCACACCCCGAGAGGTGACGGGGGACACCTCACTGCTCACACCCCGAGAGGTGGCAGGGGACACCTCACTGCTCACACCCCTGAGAGGTGGCAGGGGACACCTCACTGCTCACACCCCTGAGAGGTGGCAGGGGACACCTCACTGCTCACACCCCTGAGAGGTGGCAGGGGACACCTCACTGCTCACACCCCTGAGAGGTGGCAGGGGACACCTCACTGCTCACACCCCTGAGAGGTGGCAGGGGACACCTCACTGCTCACACCCCTGAGAGGTGGCAGGGGACACCTCACTGCTCACACCCCTGAGAGGTGGCAGGGGACACCTCACTGCTCATACCCCTGAGAGGTCAGAGGTGACCCTGCAGCAGCTTTCCATCATCCTATACTGCCTTGCTCACCTTTGTGCCCTGCCCCACACACAGAAATGCTCCCACTGTGGTCCCAGGTTTGGTGTGTGTCTCTGGCCACTCTGCCTCTGTTTTCAGCCCAAATCTACACCCAGGAACCTGCAGGAATGAAATGAGGCTGCTCAGGCACCTTGTGAGTGATGCTATCAGCTCCCAGCAGAGGTGCAGCCTTGGCTTTTCCCTTTTCCCAGGGGGATCCCAGGGAGCAGCTGGGACAGCCCCAGGTCCTGGGTCAGAGCTGAGCAGCCCCTGCTTTCCAGCACAGCCGGTCCGTGCTGGAGCTGCAGGTGTGCTCCGTGTGCAGGTGATGGCTGCAAGGACACGGGGGAGCCGTGCCCCTGTGCCCAGCCCTGTGCCCGCACCAGGGGTGCCTGGGCACTGCTCCTGGATGGGCAGGGGGTCTCCAAAGCCCTCCCCTCGCTGCCTGCTCTGTCCCCTCGATGGGCACAGGCTGGATTTCAGCACGGGTTTATGTACACTGGTGTTGTCACATCACTGAAGAGCCCCCAGACATTCTGCCTCGCTAATTCCAGCACCCTTTGCCTAAGCCCCGCTTTAGGCTCTGGTTTTAATGGAGCTGAAGGGGGTGGCACTAAGGCAGATTAAAGGAGCGGAGCCGGCCACGAAGGCGTTAACAGCCAAGGGAACAAAGGCGTGCCTTGGTTCTGCCATCTGCAGAGGCAGAGAGGCGATTGCTGCCCCTTCAGCAGCACCCAGCGACCCCGATCACCACCGCTCCTGTCCCAGGCTCCTGATGGAGCAGACCTCGCCTGGAGCCCCTCAGGAGAGGGGGATGCTCCTTTGTGTCAGTGAGACACAGCAGCTCCCCGGGAGCTGCAGCCCGGCAGGTGCCAGCCCCTTGCGGGCACTGTGCCCGGCTGGCACCGGGACAGCCCGGAGCGGAGCCGGCCACGAAGGCGTTAACAGCCCGTCCCGGTGCCACGTGTGGGACCGCTTTCCCTCCCCGGGAGCCGCTCCTGGCTGTGCTGGGAATTACAGAGCCCTTCAGGGTCACGTTCCGCCCTTGGCCGGGCTGGCAGCGGCGCCGTGCTGGCTGTGCCCCCCTGCCTGTCCCGGGGCCACCTGCCCCCCACCAGGGCTCCTGTCCCCCGCTGTGGCCGCAGGATGTGCCCAGCTCCGGCCAGGACCCTGCCCATCCCTCCAGCCCCAGGGACCCGCCGGGGCTGCAGGCTCCCGGGGCCGGGGCTGCCGTGGCCGGAGCTCCGAGGGCTCCCAGGGCTGGTGTCCCCAGCTGGCCCCAGCCACCAGGAACAGCCCCTGGAGCTGGGAGCTCCGTGGGTAGGGAACAGCACATCCCAGCGCTGCTGGAGCAAACCCAGCAGGGCCTGGGGCTGGGTGCCTTCTCCCTCTGGGCAGGAAGGGTGCTGCTCCTCTGGCAGCATTCCTGCTTCCCCAGGGCAGCCGTGCTGGATTCCCTGGAGCCCAGGAGCCTCGGGAAGGAGGGGCACGGGGCTGAGGGCACACTGCTGCCCGAGCTCGTCTGCCAACCGCTGCAGTGCCAGGCAGGAAGGAGCCCAGAGGGGTTGTCCACCTCCTCTTGCTGCCTCACACCGTTCTTGTCAGAGACTGGAGCGCCAGGACAGCTCGTGTCTCACGTCCCGGTGCTCCTGAGGAGTCTGTGGGACGTAGGACAGTCACACAAAGCCCTACAAGGATGCTGAAGGTGTGGCTTTGACCAGCACTGCCGTGAAAGCTCCATCCCACAGATCCAACAGCTGCAGGGACACCTGGAGACATGGCACAACCCACGCCTTTATTCCTTCCCTGTCTGCAGCAAAGTGGGCTCCTAAATCACAGGGTTTAGCTCAAATGGTACAAAACCAGGCAGGCACCAGCCTCGGGCACTCTGGAATATCCTCTGGGAGCCCTGAGTCCCAGCACTGTGGGGACTCAGCACCCATTTCTAATTTATCCTGATGCTGTTCTGTGCTTGATGGGTTTTATTAGATCCCAGTGGTTCTCACAGAGCAACCCTGGCTGGGAAGGGCTGTCCCCACTCCACTCCCATCCCTTCCAGCCCCAGCCTTGGGCAGCTGGGCTGGGACTCAGGGAAATGTCCTGGGGTGGAGATTGGAGACACCTGGGCTGGAGAGTAGAGAAGCCTGGGATGGAGGTGATGGGGAACACCTGGGATGGAGAGTGGAGACACCTGGGGTGGAGGTGATGGGGAACACCTGGGGAGTGTGTGGCACGAGCAGGTTCCAGTTTGGCTTCTCCCTTGCAGCAAACATCAAGAACGACCAGCAGCTTCTCCTGTGCCTGCCTAGGTAGGAGTGGGGGGTTTAGGGGGTGTCTCTCCACCTGAACCCCACCTTTTGGGGGTGCTGCTGGTCCTGGCTGCTGGGGGCAGCTGTGGGGAAAGGCTGAGCGTGGAGAGTGGAGACACCTGGGGAGTGTGAGGCACGAGCAGGTTCCAGTTTGGCTTCTCCCCGTCCAGTTCCTTGCAGCAAACATCAAGAACGACCA